CAATCTCCTAGTCCTTCACTTGACTCTTTGTCAAGGAATTTAAATTTTTTCCAAGTACTAAGATTTCCATACACCAGATGACTCAAATCATATGATTCCAAGCTTCTGTCCAATTGAAACTTGGGCGATGGGAATCTTTCTTTACTTAGAGAAATTCGACACTCCCATAAATAACATAACTAAGAATCACATCCATTTATTGTACAAATACACAAACATTAATTTTTACAACGATTTTATTGCAAGGATATATATAAATAAGACAAAGCAAAATTTATTTTATTCATAAAAGCAGCGGAAAACATGTCCTTACAATGCAAAAATCGATTGAAAACTATATAATCAAATATTCCTAACAAATCTATCATAACTTTCTAAGCTCATAATATGATCTTCGAGTCCATGCGATCGTAATCCATTACTTCGTGATCAGACTCATCTTGCTCTTCCATCAAGCTTCCTCTCTTTTCTCCGATCTTGAAAAACATCCAAATGTAATCTTATCACATCATGTATTAAGAATCAACAAATAGGAACTTAATAGAGTTAGATAGTGGATTTTACCTGAAGTAGAGCCATACTCCTTGACTCTCCCATCTCTTAGATTCCTCAGGTGATCAGGGCAGCTTCGTAGCCAACGCCCCTTCTCTTGGCAGCAGAAACAGGTGGATTCCTCTGGAGTGTCCACGGAAGCATGGTTGGTTGAATTACCAGACAAATATGCTTCATCTCTTCGCCAAAACATTTCTGATTCAGCAGCAATAAGCATGTAAGTCAGGTCAATGAGGGTCGCGTCAAGATCCATCATATAATACTCTCTTACGAACTTATTATAGGATTCAGGGAGTGACTGAAGAACCCAGTCTACAACCAACTTCTTTGGGAAAGTCGCACCCAACATTATCAACCTGTCAATGTGTGATTTCATCCCTAGGACGTGAGCACACACGGGTTTTCCATCTTCATGTTTCATCGCCAGCAGGGCTTCAGTGATCTTGAACCTTTCAAGTCTTCGATCTTATGGGTTTGGGAGAACAACGGAAGGAGGTGGAGGATGTGAAATCAAGATAGTCCACGAGGAAGGGATTGATCTTTCACCTTGATTATGGAACTGACTTTCACTTTGAGCAGAAATACCTTTTCCATGGGATTCGGGAAGACCACGGTTAGAATCAGACATCTACAAAACGGGAGAAAATTTAAGTTAGTTGATTGAATCCTTAATAAAACACCCGAATGAGATATTAAGGCTAGGATCCAACACAATATCCTATAAATTGGAAGAGGGATGTCGTAATCCAATTTGCAGAATTTTTGAAGATAGGTAAATGACGATTTACCAATTTCCACCATGAAAAACGAAAAAGAAGGTTAAGTTTTAAATGTATTGGAAACTCCTAGATCTTTTGAGATTCATTAAACTTTTCAATGACATGTTTAAATCTCGATATGCACCTCGATTTGTGACTGGGATGCCGAGGATCACAAAACAGGGTGTGAATAACCATGCAAATATACATGGTGCCCCCAATGTTACAGTCAGCTATTCGATGTGCCGGTTAACCACACACGCTCCACCGAACTATGACAAACATCGAGTCACCCTTTGCCACCTTTGCTTAGAACCCAATTAGTGTTCCGGTTAACCACACATGCTCCACTAACGTCCTAGCAAGGGTACAAAGTGTAATTTCATGGAATTGCATCAATTCACTTTTGCCTAAAGTAACTAAGATTGAGAATTTTGAAAAACATTTAGTTACCTTATTATTCATTATACTTTTTAATGAGGAGAGGTTTGCCCTATCCTACCCGTTCGGCTAACGACCCTCCACCATTCAAGGAAGCGGTTGGTGAGAGTGGACACTCATTAAACGGCCATTTTATAGGTCATAACCTTATACCCCCTTATAGACCGGCTTCGTGAACGAGGCCTACTAACGGTAAGACTAGCAGTTAAAGTTATAAATATTAGACTTTTAATGATTTATATATAGTATAAGGGTGTATTTTATACCTTTAAAATACTAGGCGGTTCAAACTATTAATAAATTAGACCTTTAATTTGATTAATCTTAAACCATTTGATTTATGATTTATTAATTCTTTCTTTTAATTAAATTAACAAACCATAAGGGTGTAATTTAAACTTTTTCAAAACTAGGATTTTAGAAGTTAAAATTTCAAAAATTAAACTTTTAATCCAAATTTAAATTCCAAAACTTTATGGCAAGTTTTGAAACGTTTCAAAAACATTAGGGTTCAGAATTTAAATATTTCAAAATTAAACTTTTAATCAAAAAAATTAAATTCTAAAACTTGAGGACAAGTTTTGAACTTTTCAAAACACATAGGATCAAATAGCAAATAATTTTAAATTAAACATTTAATGTAATGATTATCTAAATTTGATCTATTCTCTTTTATTCACAAGATAATTCATCAAACAATTCAAATAATCAAATCTAATCATATAAGGGATTTATTATTCAAACAATTGGAAATTATCTTTTGTTTTGGTAAGGATAATCAAATAATAACATTAAAATTCTGATTTTATTAGTCAAAAACGATTTTGGTAATTATCCTTTAGCAAAACAGCAAGAAATCTCGACTTTCCCTCTGTCTGACTCCCTGACTCGCCGAGTTACCAATCTGGACTCGCCGAGTTGGCTGACTCGCCGAGTCCAGGAAGTGACTCGCTGCGTCAGGTCGGGCAGAGGGCAGAAAAACGATTTTCAGTGAGGATGAACATACAAGACATCAATACAATAGAAACCAATCATGGCTCTCATACCACTGATGGGTTTTATGAAAAGAACATCCTATGTGCTCATGCAAACCCTAATGCTTGGATCTAGGTTTCTCTATTGTACATGCAAATCATCCAAGACTCAAGAACCCTAATCTAGCATATGTACTTCGAAAATATCATATAAGAACAGATCTAGATGATTACCTCTTTAATAATGGCTTGAATCTTCTTGTCTTGGAGCTTAGAGTCACAAATGTCACCCCTCTAATGGCTTACAAACACCACAAGCAAGAGAATGACTTATGAGAAGGAAGAGGAGCACCAAAAAACGTCCAAGAAACTCCAAGGAATGCTTAGCCACGTTTTTGGGTGCCCTAGGGGTCTTTATATAGTGAGGCTATTAGGGTTTTAAACTAGGAAACCCTAATCTGACTGCTTAGGCCCTAAGCAGCCCATAGACTCCCTCCTTAGAAGCCTTGGACGAATTCTAATGGGCTTCCCCATAGATTTCGTCCACTCCAACTTCTATGGAGTCCATTAGCCCAATATTCAACTATCACACAACTGACAGTTCTAGTCCCCTTTATTAAATTAATGTCTTTTAGCCACAAAATTAATTCTTATTAATTCTTGACTAATATTAATTAAATAATATGATTTCCTCTGTCTTTAAATATTTATTCTTATAATATATTAATAAATCATAATTAATTCTCTTTCTTCATAAATCATCCTATCAAGTTGCTTTGGTGAAGGAAACCCAAAAGGACCATGCACAACCGGGTCAAGTACATACCAAATACAGTTAAGGACTTAGACACTAATCCAACACTATATGTCTGGCCCCAAAGCCTGAACCCTCATCATCACCAGAACCACTACCAAATCCTCCTCGAGTGACCACTATACTGAAAATAGACCATTCAAATCATCAGGAACACATAAACACATATACATCGAGGAATCCCATACTCAACAAGCTTCTTGGTATCATCACGACTTTCCTTATCTCGAGTACGAATCTTTTGCTTCGAGTAACAAAATTTTTACTTAGTTCAAACGCTAAAATTTTATTTATTTTTGATGCCAAACCGGTATAAAAAAAAATAAGAAGCTTAAATAAGACTCAAACAACCCCCGGATATATGGATTGGTCAAATTCGTACAATCTAAAAAATGTAGAGTATCGATACTATATCTACTCTTCAAATCTATAAAATGGATAAGGATGCCATAATGTCGGATTTCAGGGAGTTACACGTATATATAGATGATTATGACGTTTTCCAAAGATACACATAACTAGGGATGAGTAGCTAGTAAATCATGATCCTGTATCGGAACTGGTACCGAATTTAAACATATGAGACCGTACTCGATACTCTAAAATCACAAATATCAGGATTTGATACCTACGATACCGGTGCTAGTACCTAAAACCGATACCATTTCCGGTACCCGTATGTTAGTTTGATTTGGTACTCAATATCATTTTTCTACCCATTTCGGTATTCGGAATTCTCGGGTCGGTACCGATTTCATCTCATGCTCATCCCACACATAACGTAGGCATCTTCGGAGATTTTTCACCCTCTGGAAGGTCAAAAGATCTTTGGAAAAGACTTGACGTATTTTCAAAGATTTCCCACCATCTAATAAGTTATTTTGTTGGAAACAAACATATAGGAATCGTCTGTGGAAGACACCCTCTGGAAGTCTATAGACGTTTTACACTTGTATGTTTTGTTTATCCTAAAACAAACATACAAAAATACCACATTCAGGGGCGGACCTAGGGGTGGTCCACGGTGGCACCGGCAACCCCTAACTTTTCCGGCCGCAGTGGAAAAATTTTCGAAAATTTTATTTTTTCTACTACTGTGCAACCCTTAACTCTCCCGTAGAACCCCGATTGTAAAATCTTGCGTCCCCCCGACCACATTTTGAGTTTCTTAAATTATGATGTTTGTTTTGTACATGAGCATGTGTGGGAAGTATTATTTGAATATCGAGGAGCATATTTTAAATTATGATGTTTCTTTACATATAAATTTTGTTTTCAAAACGTTTATACATTTGATTATTTTGACACAAAAAACGATGATGCATGTGAAACCATACTTATTGCACGGTGATACATTTTGAAACCATACTTATTGATTTGGTGCTTCTTTAATCGATATAGACTAAAATTACTTTTGACGTAGTCCTCGTCGGCCTCCGGCTTTGATTTATTAGAAAATTCATGCAACACAATGGGATAGTACATAAACAAGGGAGGATGGCAATGGAAGTTAGGAAAGAAGCAGTCAAAAGCGCAAGGAACGACACAGCAAAAGAACTAATTCAATGGGTAAATCATAATTTTCATAAACTAGAGGAACTTTGGGTCACGTTGTATGTGACGAATTTCCGGAATCAATGATGGTAAAGGATCTATGGCAACTATGTGATCGACATGGGTTAGTTGTGGATGTTTACATTGCACATAAGCTTTCCAACTTCCAAGATAGGGGTCGATTCGCGTTTGTCCGATTTTTAAGAATTAATGATCAAAGGGTGTTATTGGAAGACTTGAATAAAGTATGGATTGTAAATTTTCATTTGATCGCATCGAGATTTGAGCGGAAGAAGAGTAACGAAGGAAATCATAATAGAGGGAACCGTCAACCTTCAACCTTAATATGAGGTGAAGGTACAAGAGATGAAGAAGACAATGAAAGTTGGAGTTGGTATCTCTTATGCTTTGAATGACATAGGAGGTTTAAACTCAAGTAAATTAGTTGAAAATGTCCTTAACAAACTAGTCTTGGAAGAAGAGGATCTCTTGTCAATCTCGAATGTGGCGTGTGTAGTTCTTGTGAAGATAAGGGACGTTAGTAGGGATGAGCAAAAGGACCGGGGAACCGGCCGGAACCGGAACCGGAACCGGAACCGGTCCCGGAACCGGCACCCGATGGAACCGGTCGGGCCGGGACCTATACTATAATTTCGTGATTTTTTGGAACCGGGACCCGGTAAGAACCGGCCGTTGGAACCGGCCCAAAACCGGGAACCGGACCGGATACAAAAAACTCCATGCATTTGGCTTTGTCGCTTGAACTTCTGCCTTACACTTCGGACGTAACAAAAAAAAACACGATCGACCAAAAAAAAACGATCGTCGATCCCAACTCCCCAAGTCACAAAGATACGAACCCTACCACTGGTATACCATCGATCACGAAGATACCACACTAGTCTACCATCGATCGACAATTCGACATCTCCAAGGAATAAGAATCCAAGCATCGATCATCGAATCCAAGAATCCAGGCTAGTTTATTGTTCATCATCAATCATCGATTCCAACTTTCCAACTTTCCATCTCCAAGTTTCAATCGATCTTCAATTGTTCATCATCAATCATCGATTTTCATCTTCAATTGCTTCAATGATTCAAACTATGGATGTTCATGAAGATCAAGTAAGATCATATATTTATATTTCATGTTTTAAGATTATATATTTGCTTCAATGCTTCAATGATTCGCCAAATATATGCATTCTTATCCCTACTTAATTAAATGATCTTGATTCTTGATGCCAATATTGAAGATGCCAATATGCATTCTTGATTCTTGATGCCAATGTGTAAAATTGACAATGTAGGATTTGGATGGGTTACCAAATGTACCATCATCAAGATACGGAAACTCGGATGTTCATGATGCCAATATTGAAGATGGTAATCCGACTAATTGGATTGGAAAAGACTTTGATGACCAAGTAAGATTAGCATTTAGCTCATTAGCAATATTTACTTCTTTAGCAATCTATCCAAATTTTGAATTGTGCATAACTCACTCAATTTAACTTGTTTTGATCTGAATCTTTATCCTACATGTAGATTAGGATTTGTAGTTGAGTTTAGACTATAAAAACGCTTGATTTGGTAAAAATTGAATGCGTTACAAGCCCCGCAAGGAAATGTGTCAAATCTGAATTTTTTTTTCTAACAGCAATAAAACGTAATCTGATTTTGTTGTTCAAATGTGCATAACTCATTCAATTTAACTTGTTTTGACCTGAATCGTTTTCCTACATGTATATTAGGATTTGTAGTTGAATTTAGACTATAAAAACGATTGATTTGGTTAAAAATTGAATGAGTTACAAGCCCCGCAAGGAAGGGTGTCAAATCAGATTTTTTTTTTCTAACAGCAATAAAACGTAATCTGATTTTGTTGTTCAAATGTGCATAACTCCTTCATCTTAACTTGTTTTGACCTGAATCTTTTTCCTACATGTATATTAGGATTTGTAGTTGAATTTAGACTATAAAAACGATTGATTTGGTTAAAATTGAATGAGTTACAAGCACCGCAAGGAAGGGTGTCAAATCTGATTTTTTTTTCTAACAGCAATAAAACGTAATCTGATTTTGTTGTTTAAATGTGCATAACTCCTTCATCTTAACTTTCTTTGACCTGAATCTTTTTCCTACATGTATATTAGGATTTGTAGTTGAATTTAGACTATAAAAAAGTTTGATTTGGTTAAAAATTGAATGACTTACAAGCCCCTCAAGGAAGGGTGTCAAATCAGATTTTTTTTATATTTATTTTTCAGCATTTAAACGTAATATGACTTATTATATGTTTTATTTTGAGAATATAGGATTATGGAGAAGATTTAGAAGAAGATTATATAGAAGAAACACCGGCATGGAATGTTATACCAAGTGATGAATCAAACCAAGAAGAGGAGCCACAAGAACAACAACCTTCAAAAAAACGAAAATTTACAACCCCACAAAAACGAAGACAACCAAAAAAATCAACACAAACAAAAAAACCACCACTACCAAAAGAACGAACACAAGAAAAATACCCAACAAAACCAAAACCCAAAAACAAAAAAAAAAGACTCAAAAGGAGTTAAGGGACCGGATTAACCCAACCAGACGAGGTGAGGGTAGAGATAATTGTACCGCTCCTGTTTGGAAATACTTCGAGATAGAATGGATAAAGGAGGAAGATGGAATTGAAAGAAAGTGGGCTGAATGTAATTATTGTTTACATTTACTAGCCGCAGATCCAAACCGGAATGGGACAACTTCAATAAACAAGCATTTTATGGGTGCAAGTTAAATCCGGACAACAAACCGAAAGAAGTTGATGACAAACAACAAAAGTTGTCATTTACGAAAGCTCCTAATGGTGTGGGTCATGTATACACATGGAAACATGATGATACTAGGATCCAGCTTGCCTTGCTAGGCCTTTTCACCGTCGGGGAACTACCCTTTAAATTCATTGAAAATGAGGCATTCGTAGAATTTGTAAACGCCCTCAATGGTAGGGTGAAATTGCCTTCAAGGCATAAAATTTCTCGTGATGTTGTGTCCTATTTAATGGAGAGGCAGAAGTTGTACAAACATTTGAGCAACCCCAAAACAGCCATCCACTTGACAACCGACACGTGGACATCCTCGTGTCAAAAGATAAATTATATGGTTGTCACGGCCCACTTCATTACCGAAGATTTTGTCATGCACAAAAGGGTAGTTAACTTTAGAGAGGTTGATACTCACAAAGCTGAAGACATGGCCAGGGAGTTGCTAATTTTCATAAACGAGTGGGGGATGAAGAATGTCATGACGATGACCGTTGATAATGCCAAGACAAATGACGCGGCAATCAACATCATTGTGAAAGAACTACCGGGTATTTACGAGAATGGTAAACATTTTCACATTAGGTGTATGGCTCATATCATAAACCTAGTTGTGAAAATGGGGTTAAAACACGAAATTTATCATGTAAAAAACCTACAAGATGTGGTGAAATACATTAGAGCCTCCCCGCAACGGATCAAGACCTTTAAACAAGCCATGAAGGATGCGGTTGTAGAAAGTCAAAGGTTTTTGTGTGGTGAAACTCCAACAAGGTGGAACTGTACCTTTGAATTGCTAAGATCAGCATACGATGTGAAAGACGCATTTCTCGAATATAGCCATCAAGGTAAATAAAATCAAATATATTTCAGCACTAAAAAATAGGAATATTTACTTCTTTAGCAATCTGTCCAAATTTTGAATTGGGCATAACTCACTCAATTTAAATTGTTTTGATCTGAATCTTTTTCCTACATGTAGATTAGGATTTGTAGTTGAGTTTAGACTATAAAAACGCTTGATTTGATTAAAAATTGAATGAGTTACAAGCCCCGCAAGGAAGAGTGTCAAATCTGATTTTTTTTTCTAACAGCAATAAAACGTAATCTGATTTTTTTGTTCAAATGTTCATAACTCATTCAATTTAACTTGTTTTGACCTGAATCTTTTTCCTATATGTAGATTAGGATTTGTAGTTGAATTTAGACTCATTCAATTTAACAGCCATCTACGTTAGTCTTATTTTATATGTTTTCCATCACTCACTTTTTTACTTCTCTTTTTATTAGCCTAATTGGTTGTCTGGTTAATACTTAATATTCATCACTCACTTTTTTATTTTTCTCTTTTTTATTACAATGCCTAATTGGTTGTCTGGCTGATACTTAATATTCAGAATTTTAATTTCTAATTCTGACCTCCCTTGTTTGCTATTAGATAGTTTAGAGGTGTACATCGAGATATTTATTATTCAATAATAAATACAAGTTTTAGTTCTAACCTATTGATCTTTAATAGTTTCATGTGAGAGTATGAGAGTGCCTTAATTAAGAATTAACCAAGGACAACAGTTTTAAGGGGTCTAGAGGCTGATAATTAAGGAAGAACAAAAAGAAGGATTTGAATTTTGATAATATGATTGTTTGTCAACTGTCATACGGTTTCATTCGTCTATGGTGCTTGGGATGCAATTTGTAAATTCAAAAGGTTACGAATTATTAAAATTTAAGATAAAAAGTACTTCAAACAATTATAACTAAAATCAGTCGTTGTAGTATAGTGGTAAGTATTCCGGCCTGTCATGTGGGTGACCCGGGTTCAATCCCCGGCAACTGCGTTTGTTTCTGATGTTTTTTTTTTTAAAGTTTGACAAGCTTTCCGTGTATTGCATTAGGAGCCTCTAAAGTTTCAATTTGAACACTTCCTCTATTTAATTATCCAAAATATTGTGAAATACATTTCGTTTTAAGTTTATAATTTGAATTTAATTTTTACCAGCACTAGTTTTTTTATTATGAAAATCTTGACTTTTTCCCCACTATATTCTTTCAGTTCGCACACGTCCAATTTGGGAAAATGACTTATTAAGGTAATTAACTTTTCGGTATGTTTATATCTGAGTAACTATCTTTTTTTTGTATATATTTAGGTAACAAACTTGTTGGAAGTGTTCACATATGACCATTATGACCTGCTATAGCAGGTTAAATCCTAGATGTAAACACTTTCAACAAGTTCGTTACCTAGATCTATACAAAAAAAATAGTTACCCACAAATATGAACAAAACGAAAAGTAAAAGTAAATTACACGAATGGTCCCTGTGGTTTGGGGGAATTTATGTTTTTGGTCCCTAACTTATTTTTTTTAACTCGGATGGTCCCTACTATTTATTTTTGTTACGCGTTTGGTCCTTGTCTTACATGTGCCCCACATATCTGTATCTCCTCACCATAAACTTCAAACCACATTTGAGAAATTTAATTCAGATGGTTCCTACTGTTTATTTTTTTAATTAATTTTCCATCTTTAGTAACATCGGCGTCTTCACCATCCTTCTTTTTTTGGTACTTCAACATTTGAGAAATTTAATTCGGATGGTCCCTACTGTCTCTTCATCTTTAGTGGGTTGTGGTGTTGATTCTACGGAGATGAATGACCAAAAAAAGAAAGGATGATGAAGACGTCGATATCACTAAAGATGGAAAATAAATAGAAGTTGAGGAGGATGAGAGACGGGATGGTGAGGAGATACAGATATGTGGGGTCTACTAAACGTGTAACAAAAATAAATAGTATGGACCATCCGAGTTAGAAAAATAAGTTAGGGACCAAAAACACAAATTCCCCCAAACCACAGGGACCATTTGTATAATTTATTTTTACTTTTCGTTTTGTTCATATTTGGGTAACTATTTTTTTTGTACACATCTAGGTAACGAACTTGTTGAAAGTGTTCACATCTAGGATTTAACCTGTTATAGCAGGTCATAATGGTCATATGTGAACACTTCCAACAAGTTTGTTACCTAGATGTGTACAAAAAAAAATAGTTACTCAGATATGAACATACGGAAAAGTTAATTACCTTAATAAGTCATTTTCCCCGTCCAATTTCAGAATAAAGTGAAATCTTTATTAGTTTGATTTTAAAGAAACAAATATTCAAGAGGAAAATGAAGGTTGAAGTCTTGAAGATGAATAGGCAAAATGAACAAGATGTTCATCACGTGCCTTACATGTAACATGGGCTAATGGGCAGAGTGCTCCCCCCATCTTTCATACACTTGATTTTTTATTTTTTAGTTTTATTATTATTATTATTATTATTATTTTAATTAGCTTTTCAAACCCTATATTAAGACTCCAATAAGATGACTATCATGGGAAATGTGATGTTAGAAATCGGGACAAAAGTTTCTACACATGGTGATCAAGTAGCATGATGTTTCCATTTCCTTTTAACGTAACCTTGAACCCTCGTGCATGTCTATCCTTCAATTATTTTTTTCTATTGTTATACCCTTATGCAACAGCCTCATGCATGAAATTAACAACAACCATCTCTTTCTCTTTCTTACCCCTTCTTTTTCGTTTGTTTCTTAGACCTTATGTCTATAGTTCACATGCATGATTAATTCGATAAAACATCATATGAAATATGATTTATTTTAAAAGAACGATGTAATTTTATAGATTCCAAGTTAAGTATATATAAGTCTCTATTCAATGTCCCCATATATAACATATATGTGCCTTAAAACACAATGCTTCCAACTTCAATTTTAAGCCCCTTGATGCGTTTGATGCTTCACAATCTACTCCAACTCCATTTCCTTCTCCATAAGTTATATATTTAACATCTTAATTTTTTTATAAATTTACATTTTCCCTTTTTAATTAATTAGTTTATTTAGTTTTCCTTCGTCACAACTCACCCCCTTAAATTATTTTGCTTA